CCCCAAAACCCCAAAACCCCTTAATGATTTCTCGTTAATGATATTTTAGTACTTAGAAAAATAACATCTCATTAATTAGTTTCACAATATAGATTGATCAATAGCCATCGTCATCTTCATCTTACATCTTTTCATCATCATTAGTTTTCTAGCTCGGATCAAAGTATTTTTCCTCTAAATCATATAAAAACTCCTAATATTTATGAATTCATATTGAATTCTTACATGTTAAATGTAGTTAGTGACTGCTTCATAGTCTATCTCCATTTCTTTAGGATTGGTTACCTTATCTGGATCATAAAAATAGCCATTACCTTCATCTAAAAGTTTTAAGATGTAGCAAAGTGTCATTTTATTAGTGATGTCAATCAGGGAGAAGCCGACTTAATTAAATTTTTCAATCACCTCACAAATCTGCAGGGATAGCTTGCCATACTTCTAATTAAAGCCTCCTTCTTTTTGAAATTTACTGTCAAAAAACATGTATTCTAAACCAGAAATTGCACTGTAAAATGAAAGATTCATATCTGGTCGACCAAAGTTCTTCATCAAGTCTACCTTAGTGATAGCATTAATGAAAGGCATCTCCATCCCTATTATTGCAGTCAAGGACAGCATCATGGAGGCTAAGAATCTATTTTTATCATAGAGATAAGTACAATCTACCAGATGAATAGCTGATATGTGCAAATTCAATCTCTTTGATAAGATTTAGATTATATTCTTTAAGGACTGATGATTAGAGTATATTTCAACCTATCCTGGCAAGTCAAAAATAAAGTACCTCTTCTTAGACTCCTAAATCTTTTAGATTAACCAGTCAATATTCGTCTCAAGAAACTCCATACAGTAGATCATGCTTCCATTTGGGCCCAGTTAAAATTATTCCATCACATCTTCTTAAGTTATTAACTCATGAATATCAATCCCACACTTAAATAAAGATTAAGTTCATCTTTACTGAAAATTGACTTACTTGATAATCCATATTGTCATTTGCAGGGTCGAGATTTATTATCTCATGCTTTCTCTCTAGCTAAGTAAACAGCTGCTATAGAGCATTACAGAAAGTAGTCTTTCCCGTACCTGGAGCACCTATAACCAATACACCTGAACTGTATTCATATATTTTCTCTGCATTTTCTAGCTATTCTTTCTCAGGGTTGAGATTATCACTCTCTGTAGACATTACAATTAAATCAATTATATTAAATTCTTATTGCTAATTAATTACTAAATTTAATGATTTCAAAAGCCTTTTAATGCTAATCTTGAATAAACAGTGTTTAGAATACCGTTTTCAAAAGACTTTTCAATTTCCTTTATCTCAAATTGCTGAATGATAGCGTCCATATCTTAAAATTCAACATGTCTAGAGATATCTTCAAACTGTTCTGGACAAATCTCTCTAATTTAGTTGAGGAGTTCTACTTTCTTGCCCTTGGGAGCATTTAATATGACTACAAATACTCCTCTCTCTGAGTTCTTAAGTCCATATTTTTCAAATCCTTTTTGTATCTATTACATTTATTTATGGTAATATTATTATACACTTGTAGTTGGACTAAGCTGAAATAATATTTCATTTCCTATAATTTGAGTTTTCATTTCTCTTTTCCTCTATGCTAATAATGCTTTTGCTATGCCTATGTTTAAGTGCATTAATGATGCAATCTACGGACATTAAATAATGATATAGTTATTCTTACATATTTAGGGTTGATTATTGTTAAGTTTTCAGCATGTGTTTACATCAACTCAAGCAGTTTATTTTTTCTTTGTTAGAGCAGATCAGTATTTGTTTCTGGATCAACTAGAGAAAATAAAGAGATATTTATATCAGCTTCAGGAAAAGTGCTGCAATTAAAATCCATTTATACTATTAATCTTTTATTATAAACTTCACTTACATATAATTAATATATTTGCCCGGGGTTTTGGGGTTTTGGGG